AGACTTTATCAGATACTTTCCATCATACATACAGTACAAAACAACAGAAAAGGTGTGAAGGCAAGAAGTCATGCTGAAAGATCAGCACTTATAAAGACTGCATTTTAATTTAATGTGTTTCTTTCTGGCATGTGTGGAAATACAATTTTTTTGCAGGAAAGATAAATATGATCAATATCATGCTTGTCCTGCTGAATTCAGTGGCATTTTGTCCCAACCACACAGGGAATGGGCATGCAGAATAAGGATTCCTTATTTTCAGTCACTTGCAGTACTACTGTCTTGAATTAAAGAAGGATCTCTACTACAACAAATATTTAACTTCTTTGTAATATGGTTGGAATTTTTTCTCACCATCTATGTTTTATTTTGATATTGTTAGCCTCCTTTATTTACCCAAATCAGATATGGGCCCATTGCTTGTTCAGGTATTTAGTATTCTGTCCCGAATGGACTGCTGCTGTGAGGCTTCTGCACATTCTGAACATACAAAGTTTTCTCATGTGAAGAATGAGAGGTATTAGAAAATGAAGTAAACAGCTTTTAATATATTTGAGTTTTCTGTTGGTGTGTATGTACCATCATTTTTTGGTTGGACTTGCACACACAAGGAATCCAAACATCTCATTTAATTCAAAGAAAACATCTCATATAATTAAAAGAAATTTGTTGTCAGCAGTTACAGTGAGCAAATACACTGATTTCTCCAAACAGGAATATCTATTTTGTTTGAAGAAAAACTCTCCATCCCTATTGGCATGAGATTACCTTCTCTTGCTCTACACCTTTTTACTGATTTTTTCAGCATCTTGTCTCAGTGTTTCCTCTGTTCTGTGAGATTCTTGCAGGCTTTAACTATTGCACTGCTTTTCTGCTTATCCTGGAACTATAAATGTTTCAGCACTTTGTCTGCATTCCTTGTTCAAATAAAATAGTCCTTTTTATTTCCATGTACTTATGCACCCCTGTGATCCCTAGATTGTATTTAAGAGAAAACTTGATGTTCTGAGAAATCCCATAGTTCTATTTTTGATTGTATCCCAAAGTAATTTGGTCTTGGTATTCTAAAATGAAAAAAAATGACACATATGTATATCTATATATGTCTCGTTTCCTTGACAAGTGTCTGACTAAATTCTCCTCAGGTCTGTATTAATATGCAATGGCATATTGGACCTGGGGAAAACCTGGAAATGGAGGCCAAGCCCCAGAAAAAATGCATACCAGGTCCATGGTCTGGTTGGCCAGATACACAATTGAGGCTGACTTTTTTTGGACAGAATTACTCTGCTGAGCTGTAATGATGCTTCAGAGGCTGAGATGGGCAAGCAGTCATTTTTGTGCAGGGGAGGACTGTCAGTTATGCTCATAAAATTAGAAGAAATTGAGTTCCAGATGTTAAGGCAGAATGTCAGAATATTAAATCTATGAAAACTTTTTTCTAAGACTCACAAAAAGAAATGGTTTAAAAGGAGATTAATTCTCCTTTGCAAAGGATTATTTTTATCAGTGAAGGAATTTGAAAGCTTCATGAACCCACTCTTAAAGCTTACTAATGTAATCAGAAATACTATGTTTAATTCTTGCCATCTCCATATATCTTGAAAAAATATCCTGTGTTCCTACAGCATCATATTTATTTTCTGTCTGCCAGCTTCAGCAAATATTGTTCATTTTGGTGCACTGCTTTCCTGTATACCATTAAAAAATGATTTATACTTGTAAAGGTGGACCTATGACTTCCTATGCAAAGTGGGATTCAACAACTTTTCATAGGGCATTAAGGCATGAGGACAAAATCAAGTGGCTTGAGGGACCATCATAATGCTCCTTTGTTTAGGGAGAAACACTGGAGATTTAAAGCATGAAATTTAACAACTACAGAACTTGCAGTGCTGTTTTTAGATCTGTCTGTAAAAATGTGGCACATGTGATCACTCTGTAAATCCATCTCAGGTCAGATTGGTCAGGTTCGCTCAAATTTAACATAGGATTGCCAATCCAAACCTAAAACCTTTTTGAAAATTTTTATTGTCTAGCAGAGAGGGACAGAGCACCTTCATAGATAAAAATAGATAAATAAATACATAAGCAAATGGCTAATCCTTTGCCATAGAGAAGGCATTAGAGATTCAGATGGGGGCTGGGAGACTGCAAGCAAGAGCAGCAGCCACAGCTGAGAAAATGGGGCACCAAAGAGCTGCAGGACCACAGGCCACAGCACTAGAGGGACCACACATAAAAGTATGTGCAGGAAGAAGAATCTGTTTTATTAATCATTCTATTCAGGAAGCAAATTGCAAAAATCATTTAACCATCAGTGATGAAAAGCAATGGCTGCCAACTGAGATGTCTCAGCGTTGTACACAATGTTTGGTTTAGCACAGCAGGCTGCTTGCAGAAGGATGTTTTGCTAATTAGTCGTGAAAGTTATAGGAAGTTTGCAATTCACTCTTTTTACAACTAAATTGAATGACTCAAGACAGTAGAGTTATTGTATGAGTAAAAAAAAGCAGGATGAGGCCATTAGAATCTGCCAGTCACCAGATATCATGAGCTTTCGTCATAACAAAGTTTTTCCTGAAGAACACAAAGAAAGTCTCCACAAACCATTTATTCTCTCTGTTGGGCATGCTTGAGTAATTTCTAAGTACACAAGGCCCTGAAACCCAGAGGGCACAGTAAAGAAATAAATTCACTGAAACCACAGCTCATGACAGAAGTGCTGCTGCCCAACTGTTCAAAGTGGCTCGTTACCAATAAGGAAGCTGTTCCTGAATGCTTGGACTGTTTGTCAGCCTAGATAAATAGGGGAAATGGGATAAAGATTGTTAATTAAGCTATTAAGAAGAGATATAGTCAGAGACCAGAAGTTACATTCAGTTGAGATTTGAGAGAAGCAATGACACAAAGTCTGAAGTTGACTGAACTGGTGAGAATTGGCTGAGCTCCTCTGAGCTCATGCTATGCCACCAGAAAATCTGGCCTCTACAGTTCCAGTGTGGCACTTTGTCTAAGTCTACCCCATAATTTAAAAACTCACACCCACACCAAAAGAAACACTAAGTCTGGTTCCTGTGAGTAACAGGTATGACACAGGTGTCTAATTAAAATCTGCATGCTCAGCTTGCAAAAGCCAGAATTTCAAGACTGGGAGAGAGGCAGGAATTTATTCCCTATCTCCATCACAGTTTTCTCTAAAGTCAATTTTCTTTAACAGTTATAATAATGTTTCACGTTCTGAATGTATGAAAAGGGACAAAAGGCTGGTGGTCCTTTAAAGGTCCTGCTAGGGCTGGAGGAAAGTTCTTTGGTGTTTCCACACTTTGTGTGCGAGATGCAGCAGAGCTCAAGTCACCCCAGTTATCCTTTTCTCAGAGCAAATATTTACATTGTTATTGAACTGGAGGGTCAGAAGTCTTCAGTTTTATAAACTCAGTCTTAAGAGTTAAGACCAGTGATTTTTTTTCTAACACTTGTCCTAGAGAAATAAAATAGTTTCTATTTCAAAAGTAGTAAAATTAATAAAATATTAATTGGTCTAAGAATGAGACAGGTGCAGAATATAAAAATATTTGAGCTCTGGCAGTACTGTGTTTTGTGCATTTTATACTACATTATCCACAGAACACAATGTGGTTCTGCAATGGTATGTATCTTAAGCATTTAATAAATTTGACACGAGTTTCACATTCTTTGGTTAAAATGCTAACACATGCGGATTTAAGATTCAAAATTAAAGGTATTGGGATTCTAAACATAATTCAGAGTCCATCTTCTTCAAGTACTGACAAAAAACCGAGACTGTGATTGAAAGACAAAAATATCTTGTTTCTTCAGTTGGGTCCTCAGAGTCTTGCCTTGCTCAGGTCTCTTACAGCATTATTGAGACCAATGTCAGCATTGAGCACCAGAGTCTAGGAGCTTTCCAAATTTTGGTGCCAAGAAGTGAGCACAACTGATCAGCAACAGTGTCTTGAAAGCACAGCTGTAGATGACTTTATATATATGTACACATATATAGATCAAAGCACAGGAAAAATATATCAACTTGAGCAGAGCTCATCAGTGTCTTATTTGTTATCTTGTGTTTCTCCACCTCTATTTTCAGTAGTCCAGGGCACCATGACAGCTGTGGATGAGCAGGTGCAGAGAACAATTATCCTGTTTCTGGAGGTAATTGTGGGCTTCAATTAGGAAGCCAACTTACTGGGTTAAAGAAACTCATTACCGTTGATTCCTAGGTGAGGAATAAGATCTTTTCATGTGACCCACCATGAATAATCTATTTATTTATTTATTTATTTATTAATAAAGCATTGATGTCAGTGTAATTCTCTGGTCTAGCACACTGCAAAGGATATTCAGAAGCCATACAGAGTGAGAGATAAAGCCAGTGGGATGCAGATGAACAAGCTTCTTTATAGTGACAGTCATGGGATTTCATTTGTGAAAGATGTACTCATATCTGCACCAGAACTGAATTCCTCTCCCTGCTAAAAATCCACAATCCTGCTGGCAGGCACTCAGAGAATTTTCTAATGCAAAATAAATAAATAAATATTCAGGCAAAAATATCTTACATTAAAAAAATGTAGCCGAGCTCCATTGTTTCAAAGGGCCTGCTCAAACCAGGATGTTTTACCTTTTAATATCTATCTATTTATGCATGTGTGCTGAAAACCTAGACTAATTGGAATCATATTTGTACATCTACTAACTATTGTATACTATATTGTAAATTCCAACTTTCTGCAGTTCTCAAGCTGCCATGCAGAGAAAGTCAGTAATAAATCCTTCACTCTTACCTTTTCCATGTTTTCCAAGAGTTTTATTTCTTTGAAGTGTCTTTGATTTTTATATATATATATATAAAATTCAAAAATTAGAAGAAAAATCCCAGTGTAAATCCCCAAACAAACAAAATAAACTCCCCTGTGCCAATAAAAATGCACATTTAAGGGAATGAGGGGGATATCTGGGCTATAGATTTTTTTTAGCTAGATCACCTTTATCTAGTGTAATGTTTGTTCTGTTACCATTTGAAATTCAATTTCAGGTAGTTCTTCATCATATCAGAATAGGATGCATCATTAACTCTAAGAGGATGTTTTCATTTGGCATCTGCTATTTTCACCAAATGTCAAGACTTGACATTTGCTATCTTTATCTGGTTTTGGTGTATCACTCATACTGAGATTTTGTTTCTTCTTATATGATATTGATTTCAACTGTGACCAGCTGTGTTGCTAATAAAATCAACAGGCAAGTATCTGGCATTTAGTTCTTCACTGCTAGAGGAAAAGAAACAACCCAGTGACAAAAAAAAGTAAAGAGATACTTTTCAATTAGGATGCTCGCCTGTATCCTCATATTATCCATCTCTTAGTACTTCTGTTGATGTTATATTTCTGCTTGATTCCCTTGGGGAAGTCTCCATGGAAATCCTTGCCTCTCAGATGAAATATTCCTTTTTGCTCTCATCCACAGCTTCCTGGAGAGCGGGGTCATTTTTCAAAGCGGCATCCGCGCTTTCGGCGAACTCAGTTCCTTTGGCCTCGTTGGTGTGGTAGGTGCCCTTGTGCCTGTACATGTACCTCACCATCACCACCAGCAGGCAAATGAGGACGAATACCACGGCAGCAATCACGCCTAGAGGAAACAGACCACTTAAATGTATCACCAGTGATAAAATACGAGAAGTGTCTCACAGCCAGACATCATGACTTCAGGTGCTTGGTAGAGAAAAGCCCATGTGTCATAAGGGGTTTGCATGTTGCAGTGGCCAGTCAGAACACGCTGCAAAAAACAAGATGGGCTATAGATACTGCAGAAATACAGGAAAAATGCTCACTAGCTTTCTTTCAAATCAATGGCTTGATTTGGTTGAACATATTGGAGCTAAAAGTTCATTACAAAATGAGGAGAAGTAAAAGGAAAGGAAAACCATTAGGTTTCTTTCATCCTTCTGGCAATATACACCTGGGGTGAGGGGTGCTGCAGACAGCCCAACCCTGCCTTCTCTAATGTTCTCAATTTCAGGAAATGTTCAGGGCAGTATTTGATAGGAGACATTCAACAAATAGCTGGAGCTGTTCTGTATTTGCAAGCTGCCATTTCATTCCTTGCTCTAATAAAGAAAGTTTGATTGTAATGAATGTAGAAGTGACACCTGGCAGAAGGAAGGGGTTCTGAGTAGATCTTTCTTGTCTCCTGGACTAAGGCTAATTTCCAGCTATGTGTTGACTGGACAAAAATCTCTATAGATGACCCCAATGTGCGTAGGACTAAATGGTGAATGGAAACATTCCTGGTGAAAGAGAGTAAATTCAAGATCCTTTTCCACTGTGAAATGGAAATTTCACAATGGAAATGTGAAAATGTAGAAGCTCATAAAAGAGACAAGTCCTGACAAGTCCAAAGAATGCCAAGTCCATGACAAGCCCATTCTTAAAAAACTTACACACTCTATCACTTTCCTCCCAGATCAAATCATTGACTTAAAAATCCTGAAAAAAACTTAAGTATTTTGAGGTTTATTCAATTTGTGTGACTTTTATAAATTTTTAAACATGATTTTTTTTCATGGATCCGGGATGTGCTTATAAAAGTTTTTTGCTGTGATTATCTATGATGATACGGAGCTGATTTTATATTCATATGAATCCAGGAATAAGCCAATCATTAAAGAAATAGACAATAAAAAGAACTAGAACAGAACATTCCTAGGGCTTCCTCTGCTGTCAGTGAAGGAAATGTGTGTAGTAATTTCTTCTAGAAGTAAATTTTATGTTTTGTCAGAAGAATTGGTCCCTGGAACTGTCTACCACTCTGCAGAGACAATGAGGGGAAGGTGGAGAGTACTTCTTTCCTGCATTTTATATTCAAGACAAGTGGCAAGAGTGGGTATCTCTAAAGCTTTAGATTTATCAGCATCAGTAAACTGAGTGAGGATACCCTACTAGCATAAAAACATAGGAATAGACAGACTATTAGCAGGGTAAATAAAGATTATAACTCTGTCTTTAAAGATATGCTTTAACATTATCCCCCAGATTTCATGGTGCTTGGTTCTGGAATGTGAAGTTACTGCTAGGAGAAATGAAATTGCTTATACAAAGAACTTCAAGTTTAAAATAATATCATGGTTGCAGTGTGGGCTTCATCAATTTTTAGGACCTCACTGGTATCCCTTGACACAAGAGGCTCTAATAGGCTTTAGATGTAGCACAATATTAATAAGCCTAAGGGACTAAGTACAAATCAATTTACCTGCTACTTGTTCATAGAAAGCTGAAATTAAAGTTACAGGAGATGGGACCTGAGGGAAATATAGCAGAACCTCACCAATTTGCACTAATGATTGGTATAGCCCCTTGTGAATGACTGAAATTAGTGTGTTAGCATGGAAATGAACAAACACAATAAAAATAAAAAGACAGGTTCACTCCGTGAACATTGCTTTGCTCATTTATTCTGACAACTGTATTTAGTTTAAATGCATGGGAGAGCTTTAATGGAACACCAGGAAATATAGTGTGGTGAATGCTGTAACAATAAAGGGTCAGCTGGTGTAAGGTAACATTGCTCAAATCAAAGGTGCTACACCAGTTCTGTACAAACGGACAAGCCTGACCCAGTAAATACTGAAGGAAATCAGAGACTGACTTTTCTGTTGGACTGTTTGGTATTTTGTCCTAAAACGAGGAATGGATGAGGGTTGTACTGCTCAGTATAAGGTTTATGCTCATTATCTCATCTTGTTATCTTGCCAATAGCCCCTCTGGGAGCAGATTTCCCACTGGCCTAATTAACTCTAATTGTGCCGCTCCTGTTGTCTTGTCAGCAAAGTAGGGGTTTTGCAAAATGCAAGAAATCAACAAACCTGCTGTTTTATTTCTTATGGTGCAGGTTAGTATGGCCTGCTACTCACCTCCAATAACAGCCACATCTGCTCCAGCTGTGGGGCTCTCCACTTCTCCATCTATAAATAGAATGGAACATAAAAAAGTTAATTATAAAAAAGAAATTGGATCATATGGAGGAGCAGTGACTGTACTGGAGGTGTTGTATTATTTTAACCTGTGAAACTTGGAACTTAATCAATATCTCTTGTTAGCAAAATACATTTATGAAACTTCACATTAGAGTTAGCCTTACGGTAATAGTTTTCTGCCATCATAACACTGGAAAAGAAATAGCTAGCACATTATGCAAACTATCATGGCCCTCAGGGAAACACCTACTGTTTATTATGAGCACTTACCTGTAACATCCTCCAGTGAATCCTTAAATTAAGAGCATTTAGGTACTGTGATTACTCTCAGAAAGGTAGTTTTGGAAAAAAAAGTTGATGTCTATTTATTTTCCCATTTATGACTCTTCAGAGTGTGGTCTGGATCTTGATTTCGTGTAAATTAATCTGTGTGTATTGATTTCAATTAATATTTGTTTATCTGCAATGTCCTGTTTTTAATCTTTGCATTTGTTTTCTTTTCAGCTTACATTTGAAATCACAGCAAGCCTCTCATGTGTGTGGTATAAAACACAGTACCCACTTAGAGTAAGTCTGAATTCAGTGCCAATAAATCAAATAACATAATTTGCATTATGATTCATTAAAAAAACCAAACAAACAACCAAAAAATCTTTACAATATAAATGCAAAACAGAAGTACCTGACGACGTATTTTTCAAGAAGTAAGAAACTGGTCTGAAATGTAAGCTGCTGAAAGAGCAGCTGGAATTTGAATTACACTTTTATCTTACTTCTAGCACTTAATAAGAATACTCAAAACTCAAAGTAATGAACAGACAAAGCTTTTTAAAGGGGAGATGAAAAAATATCCCCAAAACCAGTGAGGATATTTCTATTTCTTTACCAACTTCCCTTAGTTGATCAAGACATAACTCTGAATTGTCTTCTGCTCCTTGTTATATGCCACTAATACCAGCCCACATAGTTCTGTGGACTCTTCAAGTTCTATGCTAGGTTAATGAGGGAGTCAGACTGATTGGTATTCCAGATCAGGCAACCATCACTGAAGAAGATTTGTATCCCACCTCTAGACTGTCAGAAGCATTTGTTTCTGTTGTGGTGAGCCCAGAGAAACATTCCAAAGAGTTATGGGATTGCCCATGTTAATATCTAATTTTCTAGTCAATTATCACCACTCCCATATCCAGAATGTTCTCCCTTCCTTGTGTTCCCATTGGCCCTCAGTTGGTGCAATGTTCCACCCCACCTACCCCATTGGACCCTGCTTCCCCTTATTCCACCTCTGCCCCACTTTCTCCTGTACCCATTGGACCCTACCTCAACTCCACCTCCTCTCCTACCCCATATTTAAACCCTGGACCTCCCTTAATCCTTGTCTTCAACCACCATCTCCTAAAGAGATCTCATCCCCTTGGTTACTGTAATCAGATTTTTGGGCCTCATCCCACTTTTACTTTCACTGTTATTAAAGTGTTTTATGTTACTAAGCCGTGGTCATCACACTGCTCTTCTTTTATTTTGCCATTTATACCCTGAATATCTGAGAACCCTAAAAAGGATTGTCAGGGACCACCCTCGACCCCGATAGGTTAATGACACTCATTTCTCTGTTTAGTTTTGTATGATTTATATATTTCTAAGTGATACTGGCTTTTGAACAAGAAAAGGCTTTATGTGAGGTCTTTTGTTTTAATTTTAATTTCCCTTTGGTAAATGCAGTACATAGAAAAGTTCTCTGGAAAAGGTGAAAATGTAACTCCAAATCCTTCTATAAACTCAAGAGTGGCACCATGGCTGATACCTGGGATGCCTTTTTCTCTATCTGTATATATGATTCAAGGACAAAACACTATCAGCAGTTTTCTCCTTGCTCATGTCCAGTCTCTAATATCAGTTTGCAACAAACTGAGGAGAGCTGAGATTCAAAAGATCCACTTCTTCTCAAACCTGGGAGGTGCTTTTTCTAGAAAGTAAGAACGCTTTTCTCTCCCCCAGAGATCCTTCCCACATTTTCTTCCGTCTATATACTGGTGGAAAGATTGAACACATCTTCTGTAATTTAAAAACTCTTTTTATGACTATGTCTATTCAAAACCCATGTACTCAGAAGAGATTAATTGCCTCAAGGTCAAAATGCTCCGTATTTCTTTACACACCAAATACTGCTGCATGCCAAAAATGCAGGCTCCTCTACAGCAATCAAATACTTGAAGGTGTGAATTCCAAAGTACTTCCCAAGCCACACAGCTTGCTGCCAAACATTAATTCCAGATCAAATTATTATCCCCTTAATTAAAAAAAGGTTTATGAGTAACTCTCTGCTCGTACCTGGCATTCTCAGGTGCCTCTCAGATTCAGATAACAAGCAGGTGCCTTATCTCTAGTACTTGCCATCACAGTGCTTTTTGATAATGGATTACAGTATCGTCACTTTGCAGGAGAGTTTTAATTTTCATCATTCTGAGTTTGCAACAGAATGCAGGACTCATTTTGAGCTGTGGTATGGCTGGCACTGATCTGCTAAGCTGGCAGTGCTGTGCCCTTCAGCAACCAGCTGACACCGTGATGTGGCTTCTCTCACCACAGTTCCCATTTTACTACAAAAACCAGGGCCTGACCACACTTTGTGTGTCTCCTTTTGACCACAGACCAGGTTTGCTGTCCTCCCAGACAGCCTTTTGCTGTGTCAGTCGGAGTGCCAGAACATTGCTGCTACCACCCATGACCAGAGGATCAAGGTCTGCTCCTCGATCAGTTTTGGAACAATGTTGATGGAGAGCATAGAGATACCCTTAACCCCTGTTTCACTGTCTCTGAAATCCCACTTTGTCCAAAAATAGCTATGTGATTCATGGCAATGCTACAGTATTCCTGGGCAGGTGTGAAAGTATTGGCGTTGTTTGAAGTTCAAGCAGTGTCGTCCTTCCTGAAATATGACTGAGGAACATGCAAGGAGTGTGTGATGGCATGAGACCATCTTCCCTGAGCAGGAGTGAAACAACAGCTGCTGTCCAGAAGGGAATCCAAGCTTGGCCAGGAACCTCAGCATGGCCTCTCTAAACTCAAGTCTGTGTGAGAAATACAGTGCACTACTGTAGGACTGAATCTGCACTTTCTGAGGCAAAAAAGGCATCCAGCTTACTGAAGGAATTTTTAGCTCAGCAATGGCTTTGGCCTTCTGGCACCTTCTTTATTCAGCTCTTCTTCACACGCAGAGTGCTCAGAGGTCTGTGTTTCAATAGCTGCTGTTGCACCTGTTTGGATTGTTTCCCTTTGTTTCAAGGACATCTTTTGTGCTATCTCTTGCTAAATTGTCCTTGCAAAACTTCCTCTCCCTGTTATACTGGCCCTTGTCCAGCTACAGTCTGGTTCTGAAAGTGTTTAAACGTTATTTACTGCCACTGGTTACCATGACACACAGAAATCAAAAGATTGTGGGGAAACATGTTTTTCATAAAATTTCTGGCCATCAGAATGAGTTGAATAAATCAAGAATAGAACACACAAATCAAATTGTCTGTTGGAAAGTATGTTTCTAAAAGCCAGAATGATGAGGAAGAAATGCTTTTGTGTCATGACCTGAAATTCATCAAATTCCAGTTTTGCTCATAAACTTACAGATAAGGAATTTTTGCAATAGAATGACAATTGCTACCTGTCTCCTTCTCATCAATCACATCCTGCTGAGAAGGCAGCAGCCTGTGAAAGTCCCAGAAATATCCCTGATTTTAAATACTGCAAGCAGATCTCTGGCTTTGTGCTTCACAGGTGGCACACCAGTACAACTGACTTGGATGTTAACATGGCCAATGGTGACTTATTCCTGCTAAATTTGTCAGTAAATTTGTCAAACTACCTCCTCCAGTTACAATTTTCAAATAAAACTTGATTTTTATGATTTTCAGTGTTTTTCCCCCTAGTTTTAACCTATACTCTTCCATTTTGGCTGAGGAACACTTGTTTGAAGTGGGCAGGTCCAGCAGAGAAAATCTTTGCTTGATGATCAGTACTCTCCTATTCTAACCATGCACTTTTCTGACAGTCATGATGATTTCTTTTGTTCTATAAATTGAACATCTGAACCGTTAAGAGCCATAAATCACTTCCTGCCCCAAAATTCTGACACTGGCTTTAAAATATTTTTTTTTTTTAAATTCACATTTTCTTTTATATCTGAGCTTCATTCAAGTAGATCTTTCCAGTTCTTTACAATGCCAAAGACTAAATGTGCTTTGTAAAGTGAGGTTTTGGCATGATTTGGTGACACCAGAAAATAGGTCTTTGAGGAAAACACATAATGTTATGACAGTCCTGATAAAGATGCAAGACTCATCAGTGAGCTACTTTAGAAGCCTAACCATGTTAAGACATTCCAACTGACAAGCTGTTCAATTTGTATGGTGGTGGGAAAAGGCATATTCATCCCCCAAATACTTTCTCCCATTCAGCATAGAAAGCTCAGAGTTTAGATCTTGCTCCTTGCAGGAAACAATACTTTTAAGTGATTCTGTGGCTACTTTAGTTCCAGACTAAAGCTGGTAGTGTTGAGTAGAGAACGAAAAGCCCGAGATTACAACTCACATTGTCATGATTCCCATGCAGCTGTGGGTGATCCTGCATTTTGGAGTTTGTCAGGCTGAGTGAATATATAGATATCTATGTGTGATAAGCAGCTGTGACAACACAGGTTTCAAAGCCACTCGACAGCAGTCAGGCAGCACTGCTCCTGCTCTTGTCTTTCAGGATTTTCCTGCCCACAAGCTTGTGCTTCTGATTCTCAATAACCCCAGCATCTCTTATCATGATGCTTCATTGCTGACTGCTAGGTTACAATCTCAGACAAAGCCTTGGCTGCTAAATTACACTCAAGTAGGTCTTTAAGTGCTTTCTTCGGCAACCCGTTCTCTCTCCTGATGTGCCCATTTGTTGCATAAGAGGAGCTTGAAATTCATTCAATCCATGTGAATGAAGTGTTGAACTCCTTA